ACCATTTTCTGTTTCCTTTTGTCTGTAAACATAAAATTGCTAGAAGGTGAAAGTTCACATACGCGGTATTGCAGAATTCGCCTAAACTCAGGTTGTGCTAGCAGCATTCCTTTATTCAGGCGGGGTGGAGTGGACCGTCACTTCACGTTTCGTAGCTTTTTATTGTAATTTAACCAACTGAATTGATTTTTCTTGATAATCACACATCTGTTCAACCGTTCTGAATGAACAACATCCTAAACAGGATGTGGTTTACAAATTTCTTACGGTTTTCGTCGACTGTAGCATTTCCGATCATTTTTTTCAACCTACAGCACACGAGTTTATTTAATCGACGACCTTGTACTAATCAAGGGTCTAAAGACCAAACAAAATAGGTATGTTATCCTGGGGGTGTATCACCGATCGATATCATTACTCTCTACATTTGTTTCAATGTGTCTAGGGGAATTCCTCACATTTTATTACCCAATTAAATGTTTCCCCTAAATCGCGTTGTTTAAGTTGTATCGTTTGGATATTATCTGGAAATTCGGTTATCTTTTATCCATCACGCAACGTCACAGAGCACAGAGCATATCGGATAACCGCTCACTCACAATAATGAAAATTCTCCCGTTTTCCTTGAGCGCTCAATTTCTTTCTTTTGCCAATGACATTCAGGAAAAACGTGACAAAGAGAAAAGACGAAAGCGATCTGCTCATATTCTCAAACAAGCATGTATCGAAGCGTGCTCAGAGAAGTAATGAGGCGATAAGGCACGAAACATGAATACACCCCTTGCGTGTCCGCCTTTAATGCGCTCAGTTTGAACTGAGTCACCCAGATAAAATGTTTGATGAAAAATTGGAACTAGTCACGTGACACCGAGAGATAGAGAGTACGAGAATAAAGGACTGACCGTGTGATTCTGCAGGATCGTTTCCGGTTCCGCGAATCCCACCTACAAATATCGTAGAAAATTCAACACACACTAACATGATTCAAATTATCACAATTCGAACACGGGGAGATCGATTGTTAATTAGATCAAGGGATTAAATACAAATCTACCATAGGCGACAGACCTCTGCAGGTGCCTTTTTAATTCGTAACTCTTTTCATTGCCTTTTATTGCTTATATGATTACGTAGACAATTTTCAGAACAGGAAAAGTGATCAGTAAAAGAGTTCTCATATCAAAGAACAAAAGAGTGAATGTTAATTGATTAAAAATAGTTCGAACACACTGCCTCCCAGGGTGGTAATTCGGTGACCACTCAATCACCAGTCTCAAGATGCTCAAACCAATATGCTGCCAGAAATACCCGAATAGCGCTGTGTAAGCACCAATTTATCATTAGCGAGAAAAATAATCACAAACTTGAAGATCACAGCATGCGAGCAAGGCGTTTCAGGGGAAAATAAAGTATGCACATGATTTTCCTACAGCTCGCATAATTATGTGCTTATTCGTCGGAAATGAAAAGCTTGGAAATCTCCTGAAGAGAGATTGTCAATTAAAAGGCACGTGAGCTTGCAGGTGGTCACATGACGTGAATGACGGAAACTATGAGGATCGTTCATCCGTCTCAGTTTTAGATATTAACCGTCTCATAGCGCGTCCGGAACCGGTTGCCCTTCCATAGATCAATACGTACTGCACACATGTGATAACACCTGTTGAAATTTCTGCAAAACATTACATTCCGCAAACAGTTATTGACCAGAATAGGCAGAATGTAAGCAAAACCAGCAATGTTCAGAACCATTAGCAAACATCTAAACGGATGTTCAAACAGCGCTTCCCAAATTTCGGATATACAACTGTAAAAATAAACGTACACGGCGGACATACAAACTACCATTATCTGAGACAATTCAGAAGTGAATTGGAGGCATAAAGCACTTCTTTACAAGCCCAATCTAAAGAGGTAAAGGACTCGGTACTGGTGAAATATCTTTATATTATTACATGTCAAGAGGAGTACACCATAGGATTAGTTGCAACCTATCGGGCAAGTTTTATTTTATCCGTCTTGTATCAAATTTCACCGGGACGAGGGGTATGTCGGGAGAGGATCAAATGAGATCGGTGGTTGATCCCCAAAAGGATTTGAACACCTGACCGTCAACAACCGAGCACACGAAAGATGATCCAACAAACTGACAAGTTTCATATCAGCTTAGCGTGAGTGTCTGCATGTGCATGTGCATGTGTGTGTGTGTGTATGCAAGCGAGCGAGAGAGAGAGAGAGGAATAGAAAAATCTCGCGCCGCGAGACTACTACACGTCCGGGCAAATCAAGGCCAAAAAGAAACAATACCAAAAACGCGACATAGAACAGCGTTAATCCACTTGAACCGGTCTACAGTGCACTATGGCAAATGACCATATAATGCGCTTCGATAGAGCTGATATCACGTTGCATAATCTTGAGCACTGATAAAAGTAACAAACAATATTCCCGAACGCAATTTCACTGTCCGTTGAAGTGAATGCAAAAATAAGGTGAGTGATTTGATTAGTTGTTCAACATTTTTCTCGTAATTCGAAATAGGAAATTGAAAATTCCACTGAATATGGAGAAATTTGGTTCATGGATTCCCGTGAACAGTGCGGACTAGACAAAATATACGATTATAAAAACCAAAGAATAATTGTGATTCGCACTTGTCATTAGCAACAGGCTGTGGTGGTCACCTTGTACCGTCATCAAAAACCAACTGGAGGTCCTTGTCTTTTTGTCTTTTTTAACTTCTTTTTCAATTTATTGAATGTACAAATGTACAATCAACTTTCAGGAAGCGGGTTGTGGCCATACAAGGGCTGCCTGGAAAAATACAGATATAGGAAAGACGGGCGGCGGTTTGGACCCACGACACCAAGGTCAGTAGTTGGTTACCTAACCACTTGGCCACAACCGTCCTGAAGACAAAATCCGTCGCTGATGCTAATCTTTTAATTTCTGTGATTCCCAAGGTAATCGATTTATAAATATATCCCAAAGAAATGGATACCGACGTTAAGAGAAGACTGTGGATCATTAAATGAAAAAAGTGGGTCCTATTGAAGAAGAAGAAGAAGAAGAAGAAGATCACGAAACCCAGATCACACTCAGAACGACGTTCAATAAGAACTTTTAAATAGCAAGAACCCAAGGCGTTGGAATGATTGGGATTAGTCAAACGAGTGGTGAATGCACAAGTATCTAAGACGAATGCACCACAGTGAACAATATGGGCAACAGCGTCTAACGTGGACCAACGACATTTATTAGAAAACTGTAATAAACGATGCAAGTCACATAGATTAATCATGCGGTACATCAAAACACTTTCAAAAGCTTTTAGCAACACAGATGGGCAAGCAGTTAGACAGCACTTTGACGAGCTATTCTTTGAGTTTGATACGATCTTGTCTGACCTCCAACAATCGGGGATGGTTCTGAAGAACAACCAAGCACTGAACAATTCAGAAACAGATGTGACAAGATGACCGGCGAATGCGTTTAACAATTGAGGTACTAAAAGATCGGAACCATCAGCTCTGATGACCTTGATTCCTCTCAAGATTTGAACAACCTCATCCTGATAATCGAGGTTATTTGCATCTTGGGTTAGAAGGAGAGGTAGGATGGAGCTTGAGGCAGGTACACAAGCAAATTAATGCTTTAGCGCCGTAACTTTGGGACAAGTGCCGAGGCGGGATCCACACGGTTTCTGCAAGGTATTCCACATCTCACGACAGCTTTTGAGCAAACGTTATTACATCAGAAGAGGGTGTATCGGGGACTAAGCATATAAATATGTGCATATATTTGATGTTCAGTTGTTCGCCGAGCTTGGCAGTTGTATAACAAACGTTTCATCACCAATGAAGGTGACATTCTCAATGCACTAACTGCAGTTACTTTATATATACATATATATTCACGAATTAAATAAAACAAAAGTACCAATGATTTTACCGCTTGAGGAATAAACCAATAGCTGAGTGTTGGTACACCAACTTTGATCGACGGAAGTGACCATACCACCACCCCTGCTACGGAACTTCACAACCCGGGCGCTCCCGAAAACATCAAAATCATTCACTCCAACGACATCGTCCGTAATGTCTGGATGTGAACAAATTTCCGGGAATACAACTACTCCCACTCTTTTGCATCGTCTTCGACCCACCACATTGTGCACACCACTCTTACTACCAGCGAACGAATGCTACTTGAAGAAGTAGACGGAATTGTCACTCTGCTGATGAAACTTAAAATCACCACAACCCACCTGCCAGTACAATACTTATTATGGTGACCTTGGTTCCGATTTCCTAACCGTTTCTACTGATCCCTCACAGAATGTGTGAAATCCGAACTTCAAGCGCGACAATACAATGAGATTGCATGATGGAGACCATGTGTAGTATGCAGGACCTATTTCTGAATCCACTCAAAATACGCTGGCAAGTTGACTCCGGGCCACGCAGTCTGAGTTCTTATACAATTAGCGTCTTCACAAAAGGCTGCGCAATCCCAGGCCACTCACGGATGCTCCCAATACACAGGTAAGACACACTTCTTACGGTAAATTTTCCGTGGAGAGGATTCCAAACCACCTGCAAGACAGGGAAAATACAGAAAGCAACCATAAAACAAAAGGTCCAGTGAGACATACACACTATTCACTCAAATCAAAATGGCTTCCCCCGTGACTTTCACACCGTTGGAGGACAATATATCACATTGATAAGTAAATGAATTGAAGTAAAAGTGCAAAATCAAGAATATTTATTGCAATTTCGTGAAAATAAATGCACTCTGGTAAAAGCAAGACGGAAATTCAATTACCCCGCGAGAGAACCACTAAAGATCGCATTCGTCATCCGTAATCTGGAGGACTTCAATTGTTTTTCATTGGTTCAAATCCAACTTCCATTGACACCGGACAGTATGTTTGGTCCGCATCATCTCACCCCACTAAGTTGCACAACTTTGCAGTATACGGTCAAAAGAATATAAAAATGCGTCGCTTTTTCAGGATTAAAAATAAACGAATTTCGGCTGAACAAAGGAATCGAACCAGTGTTTGCAAGAACAAGGAATCCTCAAACGGCATTCACGTCGAAACTATCGGTGTTCACATATGTCAGTCAGGAGGTGTATTTGTGACTCACGTCCCAAACAACCTTCTTACTGTGCGTGACTTTCCGGATTCAGATGAGCATGCTCGTACACTGGGACAATACTTACTGGCCGTCACGGCATTGCGTGATCAGGCGGAGGACGTATTCCTGTAGCATAATTGTACAGTTTATAAATAAATTCTAATTAGAATCGGGATGGATTTTATGAATAGGTGAATCGAAGAATGAACAAGAGGTCACTCCGGTATCCGCAATATCTGTCTATCGACAAGGGTTTAACTTGCAAAGTCCTTCCAAAGCTATGCCCGTGCTTTCTCAAAGTAGAGATAGTCTAGCAATCACTCATCATGCGGTAATTTAAAATATCTCGCAAGTCACAAACCAATGAGGTCGCACAAGCTCAAAAGAGCCTCTCATTCTCTCAAATTGCATTTCACTCTCTCTGAATACAATAAACTTCATCGTTAAATGCTATTTAAAACGAATACTAGATAACTGTCCTCATTTTTGAACGCCTTGTAGGATTTAACCAGCTGGCCTGACGTAGGGTTCATGCATTAACCGTTTGCTTCACTCTTTCGAACCCTCACTGTCACCGAAATCTGTGAACTTCTCACCAATCTGACCAACTCCACCAGCACCAAACGTGGGGCCACGCAAAAGGCTTGATGGAGTAAGTCTATGTATGTGTGTGAATGCCAGAACGTTCGATGGAGTAGCTTATTCAACAATCCCGGCGTTTCGAGTTTGCAACCCATTGTTACCGTTGTCCATTTAATCGGATACCTTGCACTCAGTAAAGGACTTCGAATTTCCTACTACACTTACGTAGATCGGTGACACTTTGAACAACAATCCTCGATTAACACCAAACGACTCATTACAAACGGCTTCAAACAAACAACTTAAAATAGCTGATGTTTCGTTCCTCCTAACCCTGGATTTTTCTACTCAGTGTTGGCTTCTTCATCTAGAAAAAGTACGTCAGTCAGGTTGGTGTTTAGAATGAATTAACCTAGACTGTGATAGATTGAATCTGAATATGCTTGGTCGTTAGTTTCACAATTTACCACCTGGTTACTTGGGCGGACTAGAATGTTTGGTTTGACGCTTACACTATATGATAAGGAGATAGTCCGTCTTTGTTTGTAGCAATTCACTACCGATGTTTATACATATATTTAGGCGCAAATGCACTTTCCTCAGTTCTGACTGTGGAATTAGTGGAGGACTGCTGAGTATGGTAATTGAATGCTTGGATTAGTAGAATTGATTAGAGATTAAAGTGGAAAAGTGTCCGCGGCAGATAACTCAGGTAACCCGTTGTATTACATTGGGACTGGCAAGCCTCTGACGGACAGTCGCCATTCGCCCCATTTTCGGTGGATAAGTATTGGTGATGCCCCGTTCAGACAGCGTTGAGTGACCTTTGAACTGATGTTTTTCCGGTCCGTATTATATAAAGAGCTAAATTCTGATCATTCAATCTTCAACTGATCAGTCAGTCGAAGCCGACGACATATAATTTGGTCGGAATTCATAATGCACAAAGTCCCTTAGTCTGCTGAATTTCATCAATTATTATATTTCCGAACCAGGGTTTCATGAATTTTCATTTGTCCTTCACTGAAACATAATCACCAGGAGGGATATGGATGAACTGTTCAATAAACCATCTTTCATCGGGTGCTTGATGTATATCGCCATACTTTTAGATAATTGCGTTCTAAATTTGACCGAGTGATTGAAGATCAGTACATATAGCGAAATTTCTCAATGAATTAGTTTACAATTCACTACTCTATGTATTCAATGTAAAAATATTTCCGAGTATTGATCTATTATTTCCATTCACAATGCGAAATGGGAATGAGGGTCAGAGCCTGGATAAATATTTCCATTCACCGAAGTTGGAAATCTATTCTCACTTACCGCTTTTGAGAACAAATGATGGGTTGAACAGATAGATGACCACTGCCTTGGCTGTTGCTGAATTCTCTTGGTTAAAAGCCTTTGATGAATTCGAGGAGACTCCAGATTGATCAACTAAAAAGCATATTGTTTCATTCGATAACCAGTGTCCGCATGCTATTCAGTGACGGCTCTGGAGATGGCTTCCTTCGCTGACTATAGTACAATGATTGGTGGGGTTTGTTGCGAAAACTGCTTGTGCTTGTGCTGCCTACGTGGGTTGCCGAACGTGAGCAAACACATTGGTCGTTTATAGTAGAAGAAGTAGAGAGATGGGCAAATTATACTTGAGGTTCACGGAAATAATCGGTTGACTGGTGAAGTGGTGTAAATATTTGACCGGTGTGTATGTGATTGCTCTTTTCAGTTGTCCGACGAATAATTCATATTTATCACATCGGTCCAGAAGGAGCTGCATCCATTGCCCCTTCTCATTCACCGTTAACACGAGAGGTCCCCTGGATGTCCCGTATGGATAGCTCTAAATAAACCGTATTGGGTGCCCATAAGTGAGTGATTGTTTTTTATACCTTCCAATTTCTGAACCAAGTTGTCCTCTGTACACATATTTCTTGCATGGACTGCCAGGGAACAGACACGGTTTTGTTCACATTTGAATGGTGCTAAGCTTGCGCGCTGACTGCTGATACATCATTCTGTTTACATGAACCTCCTCTGCATCACGTTTTCACCAGTTCAAACACTGCAGCTGAAAACTGGAAAATATTTAGTGCAAAGCAGCATCGAAACTCATTCTTTCTATTTAAATGTTTATTCTTGCATTTTTTGTTTTATTGATAACAGCGTGAATGTGTCCAGACTCTTGAACGTATTTAACTCACCACATTCAAACATGAAGTGCTCTTTAGAAAACCAACTGAATGAGCAGATCGAGTTTCTATATGTTTTATTAGGTCGTCAATCAGATGGAACACTGCAGCACATCATCCACAGGAATTATCAGTATATCCATTTCAAAAGATGTGCCATTGGAACGGAATAGAAACCTAGTTCAGAGCCTTGATACCAAGATGCGTAGAGTATGTATAGACGACACAAGTGAGAATGAACTGAGCTTCATTTGAGAGGGTTTTCTTCATAACAGAATATATATGAATAACGTTTTGAGGCATCGTTGGTAACTTGATCATTAATATTTTGATCATTTTACACCTAGTGAATTCAAACCAAATGGATAATGTGACCGAGGTGTTTTACTCCCTCGACTTCGTTCGTAGTTGTTGATCTAAAGAACGAACGGGAAAGAATCAGGATTTAAGGGACTTCAGCATCTGCAAAACTTCCACCGAGGTGACAGATTGGTTCTCTCCACTAAATGCAAATGAATGCGGTATTGAGTTCGGGAAATTGCTATCGCGTGATCCATAGAGCTGCTTCAAGGCATACCACAGCGTGGCATTTCTTGTTTCCATAAGGGTTTCAATATACATCCGATTAAGACGCAATATTTCCATTCTTATTGATAATTATAGATGTTTAACAGCAAAAATTAAGGAAACATGTAAGATGCTCACAACTGGAAGAGCTATCCATATTGGAAAAGTCAGTGAAATCGGTAGAAGAAACCATTTCTCCAAGTCTCGATAATTTGTCAGGAATGCACAGCTTCCTTCAAATGATTAAAGGAATAAAACGGTTCACTTGGGGATAAAAATAATAACCGTTAATTCGGAACTGTAAAAAGTAGAGCAGTGGTCTGAGCTACCTATAAGAGCGATTTCTGGGTTGATTACAAAGATCCCATTAAATTGGACACCGAACCGGGTAGGAAAATTTACATAATTTGTCAGGTATAAATTTGTTAGGAATTAGATATGAAAACGATTGAAATCGCCAGCCGCAGTGCATAGAGACTGGTCTGAACCTGTTGCAAGTTGTGAGAATCAAGAGTCAACAAACAAACGAATATCGGAGGCATACACATCGGGAGAAATGTATATGTTAGCTAGTGTAATATGATAAAAGTGACTTAAAAATTGGACTCACGATAAAAAAAAATACAGTTTATCTTAGGAGTACTGAAAATTTCCCGTTGACGAACGTAACCACACTGAAAACTTTGGGAAAGAAGATCACATTCCGATCGACTTGGAAAATGTCAAATCCATCAAGGTGCACGACGTACTCAATGGATGTAGCCAACTTTCCTGGTGAGAAATTATTGCTACATTCTTACATTCCTTCTTGTGTATTATGCTCTTCAAATCATCCATTTTTCCCATGAGCGAATAAATTTTACTTGAAACGGAATGGTCAAATTGTCAACAGAACGCCGCCTAATTGTGACGCACCAGTCAGCATGGTGTTTAGTATGGTGTCCTTGAACATCTTTTCGTTTCAAGCGATTTCTCACAGGATGGGCAAAAGTCAGAAACTGAGGTTTCTGCGCAATTAGCGGCAAAGATTTTAAAATTTTGGCACTATAGGTTAGAGTTTGACTTTAAGTAAGCGGACTGATTCAAAAGTAATGACCGAGCGTGCCTCCAGTATAACTTTACTAAATATTATTCGAGGGTAGCAGGTTCTGGCAGAACTCAAACCCCCGCCGAAAATTCGGACAATAGATTGATTGAATTAGTGCTGATGAGCATTGGTGATCAAGTGCCTATAGTTTCTAACGCATCAATCCATAGGTGGTACGTGTGAACCCGAATCATCTCCACCCCGGGCACAAATTTCAACCTTCCTTCTTCCTACTGATAGACCCGATAATGGCATTTTCCGCTTTCCGAAGATTGGCTTTTGGTTCAAATAACAGAAAAAAGGGTGGTTATTATAAGCGCACTTGATAGATTGTGATTGTTTAACTCACTCTTTTAATTTTACAGCCTTTTATTGGATGTATAATGATATAATTTTATCAAATGGAATAGCGGTCAATCAAATGGATACCACACAATACTGAATAGGGATAGTGTAGTGATCCTAGACTAGAGAATAACGCCAACCACGGGGCGACACGTTACACTTCGAGGACGACAAACCACAGGCAAATCGAGCCGGCCAATCAAAAAGCGTGTCGTTCAAACAGAAGCTGTATGACGTCACCAATACAAGCAGACCATTGTGGAGACCATTACGATCAATATAATCCCTCTTTACATGCTATTAATCTCATTGATTTTGCTCAATAAGCTAACCACCACTTTTGTGGCCCAATT